TGCTTATGCTCCCTTCATACACCACCGTATATTATTCCTTTATTTTTCTGGTGTTTATACCCTTCAGGTATTTGTAGGATATGTTCTCATTTTCCTTAGTAATTATGGCTTAGACAAGCTATACATCTCTAGGGGTCCCCCCCCCCCAGCACACATGCCAGAGTGTGGTACACAAAGGCATTTTGCTTGGCACATGTGCCTTGGGGTGGATGGTGGAGGAGCCACAAGGGGTCCGATCCTTGTTGTGGCAGTGCAGGCCCAGTCCCTTCCTATCATTCACCTTGAGGTGCACGTGCACCCACTATGAGTAAAGAGCTGGGCCAGGGCTCTGCAGATCCCAGTGCAGCTGTTTACAGCCTCCCTACTGCCTTCTTTGAGTAGTCCAAGTTGCATGGTGGGCAGCAGGACCTGCCCAGAGCTTGGGTTGATTGTGGCAGGCAGCCAGGAGGCTACAAGCAGCCTGTGGAGTCCCAGCCCAGCTCGTTGCTGGTGGCAGGTGCATGCACACCTTGGGGTGGACAGCAGGGAAAGGGCCAGGACCAAGCTGCCACAACAAGGATCAGGCCCTTCACAGCTTTCCCACCATCTGCCCCTGGCACACCAACATCTTACAGGTCAAGGTTGAGGGTGTTTTTGGCACTCTGCCCAAAAATGTTGCCAACCCCTACTCCAGACCTTTTAATCTTTCATGATAAGGCAGCCCTTCCAGCCTTCTGAACATGTTTGTTCATCTTAGAAGTCCCTTCAGTCTCTCTGGTATCAATGATTATGTTACTTTGTGACTAATTATTTTGAAGGTGAAGAAGGAGAGAGGCAGATGGGATAAATATCTGCCTAGAAGTTCTGAAGGGGAAGGGAGGTTGTTTCTGTCACACAGATGTGTAATTGGATGGACTTCAGCTTCTGCTTCAATTGCTACTAAGTTTCACTGCAGCATTAGCAGTTCAGTAGATTTCTTAACCAACAGGATCTAGAGAAGCAGTAACATAAAGGTGTGGTTCATGTCAGATATCTCTAACTACTGTTTGCATGGCAAGATTCACAAAATGATTTTAAAATAAAAAAAAGAAAATACTTCTGTTGGACATTAGATTTTGAAAACTAACAAATATGCATCATCCTTAGCATGACTGTAAAATGCCTACAACATAAGCATAGCTCACTTTCATTCTGAAAAAAGGACTCCTGTAAGAAGGCCCAGGCAAACTCAGCAGCTTTTCTCTAAATTCAAAGCCCTGTCTTTAGTGATAAAAATAATTTTGAATTTGGGGGTGGAGGGGGCAGGTTCTTCCTAAGCCTGTTAAGAGAGGGTGAGTTAAATTCTGTTTTTCCATTCTTGCACAAATTGTTCACTAAGCTCCAAGCTGAAGGCTACAAAGGTGTCACTAATGCTACTGGCAAGATCCATTTCCTAGACACCTGGGGTTGAACCTATCTCACCCTGTTCAAGTCTCTGAAAATCCCCATTACTGCATCTGTTTTTGTAATGCGCTGACATTTAGGTCTTAAAACTAAGTCACAAAATAAATAAATAAATAAATAAAGATGAGGAAGTGGAGGCAAAACCAACCATCTTTTTTTATCATGAGCTTTTCAGGGACCCAAGAAGGGGAGAATAGGATTTCATTTAGACATCTAGTAGGTTTGATAGGATCTAGCCCAGTGAGTTTTAAAGAAAGCGGGATTCTACAAGTTGAATCATAGACAATGCATAAGTATATATAGTATGTTTAACCATAGATGATGCATAAGTGTTGACAGTGGGGGGGCACCCATGCTGCCATCCCGACTACTGCCAGCCTGCAGCCCCATGCCCTGGGCCCCACCGTCGGTGCAGAAATCATGCAGCCGCTGTCCCTGCTGCTCCTGGGCCCTGGCTCCGGGCAGGCTGTAGCCCCACACCCCATCAGCACAGAAATCTGGGGAGACATGTTTCCCCCCTGCCACACACACACACACACAAACATGCTTATGGGTTTAACTGAGGGTAGACTTGTTTGTGAAGAGTGATTTGATGGGAACACAGCTTCCCCATCAGATCCAAAATTGAGTTTTCATGACTGACCATTAGAAATAATCTTTGTAACACAAGTGTGCTTTATGTAGAAAGTGTCAAAAGATGACAAATGTGGTGCTCATGACTCTTGTGTTTATAGAGATAATATTCAGAGTA